TTGAAATCACCATCAGCTTCCTGTCGCTCTCATGGTGTTTGATTGACAGTAACTGAGACATCATCCACTTCCTGTCGTGTCAAACAACAATAAAGACGAAGACAGATTCAGTGACTGAAGCAGCTTTTACTATTTAAATTATTTGATTATTATTTATTTAATTCATGAATAAAACTCAGAAAATATAGTTTAACCGAATTAAGGAAATAAAATAATCCAGATCAAATTTTATTTTCATTTATTGAGAAGTTGATTAATAAATTCTCGCCTCAGTCTCTTTTTGTCTGACCAACATCCCATAATATTCAATCTATATATTGAATGATATAAGTAGAAGAAGTGAGTAACTGAGAGTGGGGGGGTTATACACTCACTTTTATTTTGTAGTAATTTTTTTCTGCTGTGGTCTCTTCCTGTTTTGCAGTCGGCCCTCTGGTGTGAGCTGGTTTCCTCTGACTGTGGACAGACACACATTTTATATGTGACACTTTCTTTAATGTGACGGACGTGAAGGCTCAAACAGGAGCCTCCTCCTCCTCCTCCTCCTCCTCTGACCTCCTGCTCACTGCGTCTCCTCTCATGCTGCAAATCCACCGTCAAGAAATTAGTTTATCGTGTAACCTGCCCCCCCCCACCACAGTCACTTAGTCGCCTGATAACAGAGCACTCCACTCAGCAGGACGCCGACCAACCGTTTGATCACTTTCACAGCGAGGAGAGAGAGAGAGAGAACCAACCAGAGAGGGCGATAAATACTTGATTAAATATATAAAGAAACCCCCCCACCACCACCCCCCACCTCTGAATTATCTTCCTCTCCTCCTTTTGTGATTTATAAAAAACATCAGACAGCAGGAGAAAAGCTCCTCACACAGAGAAAAGAGAGGGAGAGAAAAATCAATACAAATTACGATGGAGAAAGTGGCACTGATGCCTGGAATTGCAGCATATGTTTACACTAAATCAGGCAATCTGTCTTCATATGGGCGGTGTAATGCGTGGGGGGGGTCAGGGTTCGCGCTGCCAGCCGCCGCTCTCCAATTACTCGGGCTCTTTGCAGGGAGGCAGCCGGTATCGATTGGCTGGGAGGAGCGCGGGGCCCTGCAGGCAGCCAATGGGGCGCTGGGGTCAAAGTGCAGCGAGATTTTAATAAGGGGACGTAATGGGCTTAATTTCTGCAGAGGGAGGGGGGAGGGAAGGGGGGGGTGGACTCTGAGCCGCCTGTCCAGAGGTTCATTAAAAGCCTCTGTCTCTGTCTTTGTGTCTCCCTCCGTCTGTGATCTGAGCAGCAGATCGTCTCTGAGGAGAGAAGGCTCCTCATGCAGGAGGTCGCCGGTTCAAATCCCAGCACGAACACACGGGCTAAACATGTACAAGACATGTACAAGAGTCAACAACGACCAGTCAGACCTCCGCAGGACAGGGAGAGTCCAGACTCCAAAATATAGAAGAGAGATATTCATAATAATAAGAAGAAGAAGAAGAATAATAATATAGAAAAGACATAAAATAGACATGTTGATGTAAAATGAAAAACATTAAAAACATGAAGGTAAAATGAGATAAAATAATGATCATTGAAGAAGAAGACATTTAAAAGAAGTGCTGAAAAGCAAAGTGCAACATTTCAGAGCGAGTGAAAGGCTGAAGTGAAGAAATAAGTTTTTATCTTTTAAAAACACTGAGCTGACCTCTGATATCTAGATCTATAGATACGGACCTGATGGCTCATTGTCAGGGCGTATCACACATGAGTGTGAATGCCCCGAGTCTCTTGAGTCACTCCCCTGCTCTCTGTCCCACTTCCTGTCTCTACACCTTCCTGTCAAAGACTTCCAAAGTAAAACACTTTAAAAGAAGTTTGGAAAGAATCATCATTGAACCCTCAAAGAAGAAAGAAGTGTGACGCAGTATAATGATAGAAACAGTGTAGGATCTGTAGTGATGTCATGTTCTGCTCCAGTCAGCTGTTCAGTGTAAAGAGTTTGTCTTTAACCTGAGTGACTGATGTTTTACAGACTGTAGAGACCAGTATCACCTGAAGACACACACACCTGAGCAGCACTACACTGAGCATGTGCGAGCCGGTGTGACCTCATCCTTTACACAGGTCTCAGTTTCTGTCCGTCCAGACTACAACACAACCCCAGAGTTTTCAGAATAAAACACAACCCCAGAGTTTTCAGAATAAAACACAAGAGTTTTTTAAAGTGTTTTCGGGTTTGAAGAGTCGTGTGGACGTCAGGAAGAAACGTAGGAAGAGAAGAGTTTTAAAATGAAAACGTAATCGTGTGGACGGAGACGTATTTCCACTTTAGTCCCGGTGTCGTCACACAGACCATAAATACCTGCTGGTACCTGCACAGTGGAGGGGTCGGACCTGCAGTAAGTGGATCTGTTCAAAGGCCACGAGGTCACAGATCAGAAACCTCCTCCTCCTCCTTCTCCTCCTCGGATACAGATGAAGAGTTAAACACCCCCCCCCCTCTATCTCTCTGAGTGTAAATGGGTTTTTTATTCAATCACAGCAGTTCCCATCGTGCCTTTCACTTGTTTTATAAGTTGGGATGTATGTACGCGGCGTCGAGAGGCAACAATCCGGTTTGGGATTCATGGCTGATTGCTGCTCGTGTCGTCCTGATGCATTATCTGCATTCATCCTCCGCTGCTCTGCATCCCCCCAAAAAGTCTCTTTGGGATCCAACAATGAATCCCTCTTTCACCGGCGGCGGGCGGAGGTAATAGATTCAGGCCACGCCACTCTCTGCTTCCTCTCAGGGAGGCGGGGAGGCAAGAAATCCAACATGGAAGCCCCTGCGGCGAGGGCCACGTCCCTCAGCGCTCTGTCACCCTTCAGATATCATCCCCACCCCAGTCGCAGCCTGAAAGCCCTTTTTCTCCTCCGCCTTCCGCCGCTCGAAACGAGCTCCGACAAATTTGATTTAGCAGCTCGCGCTCGCCCATTCCCGGGGAAAGAAAACAAATATTGTTATAATGGTAATAACATCTATTTGGAGCGCCGGCAACAAACGGCGGCGGGGCCCTTTGAAGGAGACCCCTCTGCGCCGCTGTATAGCTGCCTTATTCTTATTCATGAAAGCCGCGGTTATGCATATTAGCGCAAACTAGCTATTCTACTCACCGGCATTTGGTGTGTCAATCATCCTTACAGAATACAAGAGCCAACGCTGACAAAAGCCGAGTGGCCGAGATCGGCTGACAAATTGTCCCCAAAGTCAAATTTGACAGCCTTTTATGATTAATGGGCTTGATTATGGAGAAGTATCTCCCCCAACTCATTTCCGGGTGTTTCTCCTGCTCCGCTCGCTGCGTGTGGAGGAGGAGGAGGAGGAGGAGGAGGAGGAGGAAGAGGAGGACGAGGAAGGCAGAGTGTTTGTGGAGGTGAATGAGTGGAGGAAAGAAAAAAGAGAAGAAAGGGGCTCAGTGGAGGGAGGCGGGATTGAATTAGTGGTGAAAAGGCGAGAGCGAGGAGGACAGGTGGAGTGTGAGGTCTCACACTTAATAAACAGCAGGAAGATAAGAGAGAGAGAGAGAGAGAGAGAGAGAACAGCTGACACTGCTCTCTCTCTCTCTCTCTGTTAGTGGTCACTGTTAATAAGAAGCAACACGCTGAAGATCAGAGAGTAAAACCTTCATCCTGTAACTGCACTGTAAAAAATAAATGCATCGTCTCTAATGTACCACACAGATATTTATATTATTATTGTTATCATGTCAGGACATCATCATCATCATCATCATCATCATCATCTTCATCATCATCATCATCATCATCATCATCATCATCATCATAATGAGCTTTATTTGAACAGCAACTTTCAAACACAATCACAAACTGCTTTACAAGATAAAACGAACAATAAGAAATAAATGTTTTACATCAGGAGAGAGAAACGTCACAACGAGGTGTCATTTCAGAAAATGAGATAAAACTGTAAAATAATTAAATGAATCAACAAGAAACAGAACGATGATTTAATATAATAATAAATTTAAATCTTGAATAGATTCAGACCCTGAGCCCTAAACACACACACACACACACACACACACACACACACACACACACAGATGCTTGTTTAAAACATGAAACAGATAAAAGGAAAGAAGATATATTTCGAATCTTTCTCCTACGTGTGAAACAGTCTGAGTCTGTTTTGTTAAAGATCGGATGAAACTTTTTTCTTCGACTGTACATTCATCTCATTCAGACAAAGTTCCAGTTGTTTTGTTCAGTATATTTCTTTAGGTTTCATTAGTGTCGGGTGATTGGACGAAGATGTCACTAGTTGTTTTATTTTTGGGATGATTTGGGCGGGGCTTGTCCGGCGTGGCGAGCTCAGCAGGATGTGGTTTTCACAAATTGTTCGTCTCGTCTGTTTTTAAAACTAAAATGGTCCCAGAGACGTGATGCTGTGTTTGTTGTGAGTCGGACCGAGGATGAAATCAGAGACGTCAGCTGATCCTCGGAGCTGCTGCTTCCTCCTGGTGGAAACGAACATCAGCACTGAGTTTCTAATGACGTTTGATTCGTTCACTTTGAAGAGGAGATTCGCAGCGTCTGAATCTGTTTCCCTTCTTCACTGAAGATGAACGTTTTTCTTCTGTCTGAGCCGTGACTCCTGAAATATTTAATTCATTCATAAACATTAGAGCAAGTTCATACACAGTCTGAATATAACTGTGATTTTCATGAATGACCTCATTCTGAGGATTCCTCGAAGGCACCAGCACATCTGGAGCAGATGTGTTGTGTTCAGGTGTGATTGTTGTTCAGGTGTTTGTTGATCCAGATTTTCAGGAAATAGTAAATCTCCTCATCTCTGCAGGTTTAAAGATCTTCTTCATTCTGTTTGACGAACTGTGTGTGTGTGTGTGTGTGTGTGTGTGTGTGTGTGTGTGTGTGTGTGTCGGCTCGAGTTCATCTCTGTTCCTAATCGCTGCTCTCTCTTTCTCTCTCCCTCTTGTTCATCCTGCAGCCTTGAACGAGCCGACCATCGACTACGGCTTCCAGAGGTTACAGAAGGTCATCCCTCGCCACCCCGGGGACCCCGAGAGGTTACCTAAGGTCAGTGGAGACGAGTCATTAAGTCGCTGCTGTGTGCGCTCGCTCGGGTCAGCGGTCAGAGGTCAGGTTCAAGGCCGGGAAGTTTGTGTTGTACGGCAGGTAGGACCCAGAATGCACCTGTCAGTCAGAGTGTGTAATCAGGTTTTACAGCCACATTAAAGGCAGGTGGAAGCTGAAGTGGCAGTTTGTCCCTGTGTGGCTGCCGTAGACCACCTGCACCGCTGACTTTAAGGCTTCTTGTGTTATTTAATGCAGCGCAGGACCCGAGCGGAGCTGCCTGATTGGATTTGTTGGTTCTGCTCAGTACACTCTTGGCAGCGGCGGCGCTGCTCGCTGCCAGCGGGGCAGATTGTTCCCGATCCTTCAAACAGGGAACAGCTGTTTATGGGAGCAAATCCTGCCGCCGCCGCTCGCACTGCGTTTTGTTTCCCCTCGACTGGCGGGGAGCAAGCTTTGGACGGCGTGAGGCGGCGAGGGGAAGCTGTGATGTGTGACCTGATGAATATGGAGAGTCAGGACGGAGCAGGTGACCAGAGGTGACTCCTCTGGATCCCAGATTATTGATCATGTATCAGATATCAGCTTCATCCATCATCTCCTCTTTCCTCCTACCTCCTTCTTCTTCTACTTCTTCTCTTTCTCCCTCTTTTCCTCTCTCTGTCTCTGTGAACTGAATTTCTCGAGGTGTTTGTTGAACAAAGAAGAAGTTTAGAGACGTGCTCTCACTGTGACGTAGATCATCAACAACTTCCTGACACTTTCTTTATTAACTTCTTCTTCCTTCACGCGTCACGTCCTTCAGACGAACACAGACTGACCTCACGTGGTTCATGTCACAGTTTAATCTGAAGCCGGTGCAGGAGGATGATTTTCATCTGTGGTGAAATAAAGAGAAAAGCAGCAGAAGCACATTTAAAAACCCATTAAACAGCAGCAGCTGGAAAGAGTCAGGGAAGAGAAGCGAGTGTGATCCCAGTTAATGGAGTAAAAAACACAGGAACGCTCCTTTAAGATTCATGTAGAAAAACATCAGCAGTGAAATCTGTAAAAAGAGACACGATCCTGGTTTGAGCTCCTGTCTTTACACACACACACACACACACACACACACACACACGCATGCACACACACACACACACACACACTCACACACACACACACACACACACACACACACCGTGCAGCCGTCAGGTGCTCTGGTTAGTATGAAGAGATTATTTTGGCGGCTGCCGACTGTGAGGCTAACTGAGGCAGATTCTTTGAGGCAGCGAGCGGCGGCGGCGGCGGCGAGCATCAGATGGGCTCTGACACTCGAAAGCAGCTGCCAAATTGAAACCATTTATCAAAATCTGACATCGGAGATCCAGTCACCAAAAAAGCAGTTTATTTGTAAATTGATACTAATAGTGAGCATACATTGTCTGGCCCTTTGATGGCCTGATTTGCAGCCAGAGTGGGACGTCAAACACCCCCTCCCCCTCCCCCTCCTCCCGCCTGCCTGTTAAATATTTATTTATTCAAAAGAAAACTGAATAAGACCACAGATTTTTTTTTTCTGTTTTGGACAAGAGAGAAATCAGTGCGAGAGGAAAAAGCAAAGCGGCGAGCTGTTGGGTCGCAGCCGGCGAGGCGGCGGGATGGCGTGGTCATGTGACCGAGCAGCGACGGGTTAACTGGGCCTGTCACTTCCTGTTTGTTTTCACCTGCAGCCGGCGCTCTGCGGAGGACAGGAGGAGGGATGGAGAGAGATGTTTGGGTTTGGTTTGTGGACAGGCGGAGCGACACCGAGCTGATTGATTCGTCGCACGCCGTCAGGTGGAGGGAGGGGGAGGAGGGGGAGGAGGCGGGCAGAGAGTCTGTTCAGCTGAACATAGAAATCGGAGAATAAACAGCAGGTTGATTTCAGGTGAAAGGTAGAAACTGGTCTGGAATCAGCTCAGAGAGACACGAGGCGCATTTAGCCTAGCTTAGCATCAAGACTGGAAGCGGGGGAAACTGTTAGCGTAGCATCAATAACTTAAAAGCTGCTGTTTTAATGAAGAACTTTACTTAAGTAGAATTGTGAGGCAGATGTTGTATTCTGATTTATTCTACAGAGGTGTGTCAGATGAAGATTTTATTTTGAAAAACAAACGATCAGCTGAGGATCACATGATGCTCTGAGAAGAAAATAACAAGCAGCGTGTATCAGAGTCTCTGTGATATAGACTCCACTCTATAAACAAGTCAGTGATGAAGAGGCCACACGTTCTTCATCACAACAAACATGGCCGCTGTGGTTTATGTTGAGTTAACCCCTTCCACACCGCGCTGTTTTCTCCTGCAGAGCACAGCTGCTTCAGCAGGTTGAAGTCTTTGTTAGAAAACAGAATTATATACATTTATATATTATTATTATTATTGTTATTATTATTATTATTATTATTATTATTATTATACAGAATTTGATATTTATGGTCTAATTTTATAGATTTCCATCTTCAGTAGGAACACACACAGTAACATCAGTCCGATTGAACCAGACCTGTTAGCTTAGCAGCGTAGCTTCATGGACGTCCACTCTCTCTCTCTGTCTCTCTCTCTTTATCTCTCTCTCTCATCTTTCTACTGTCACTGAACATAAAGATAAGAAACAAATGTAATAAACAGGCTGAAATCATTTCAGATTGTTCCTGTTGATCTGAGTGTTTCAGCTGTGATGTCGTCGACACTGTGACTTTACGCTGCTCAACATTTTATTATCATCATCACAAACATGCAGTTCACACAGACAAGGTGTTGTTGACGTGGTCAGTGAACGCAGCAGCTGACTGTATCTGTCTGTCTTTCTGTCTGACCTGTGAACGCCACAAATTTCCCTTCATGTGTAAAATAATCTTATAAATAAACAGTGAGTCATTGAACGCGTCACTGGTCAGTGAATCTAAAGTATTAAAGGCCTTGAAGCAGAAATAAGGGACGTCCTGTGGTGAAAAACAAATGCCACCACTTTGTGATGAGGCTCCCTAATAATCTGTAATTAATGGATTTATTAATGGTTAATACATTGTTTATTAAAGCTTTATAGATCAGCCAGCAAGATGAGCAACGTTTGGGTTGCCAGGTTGTGTAAAATCCTCCTCCTTTATTTATTTATTCTTTTTAGAAAACAAATAAAACACAAACAAACAAATGAGTAAAAAACAAACAACCTGTAAATCAGATCAAACAGCAGAATCATTGATGCTAAAATCAGCTGCAGTACCCCCCCCCCCCAGTTGAACCATGAGCTGGACATTAACCGTCTCTGGCGTGTTGCATGTGCATCTTTAGCTCTGATCATTGACCCTGATCCGGACTCGGGGGGGGGGGGGGGGGGCGGGGTTGGGGGGGGAGGAGGAGGAGGAGAGGGGACGGACGGGACAACACCAGGGGGAGCTAAACCTCCGGAGGTGACAGGAGGTCCTCCTGGAACAGTGGAGGCCTGAGACAGAGGACCGACACACAAATGATGGTTGTGATGACGGGATCTTGTGAATCTCAATATTACATACAGTAAATGTAAATACACAGAAAGTGATCACAGATACATGTTGAAATGTTTCTGCTGTTGGTGAACGTACAGAGCTGAGCTGCTGCAGCTGAGCAGACAGCTCGGCCACTTGTAGTTTAGCTTGTTTGTGGTCGTTGCTCTCTCGCTCCAGCTTGTCCTTCATCTTGTTCAGCATGGCCATCATCTCTTCTTTCTCCTTGTTCTTGGCCTCACACTCCCTCTCCTTCTTTTCGAAGCGCTGCTGGAGGTTGTGATGGTCTGGAGAGAGGAGACGGTCAGACAGCTCATAGCAGCATGTTCACTCTGCAAACCGTGTTATTCAAAGCGGGACCCCCCCCCCCCCCCGAGTCCCGGATTCAGGTCAATGAATCAGAGCTAAAGATGCCACATGCAACACGCCAGAGACGGTTAATGTCCAGCTCATGGTCAACTGGGGGGGGGGGGGGGGGGTACTGCAGCTGATTTAGCATCAATGATTGCTCTGTTTTTGATCTGATTTCAGGCTTGTGTTTTTTACTCATTTGTTTGTTTGTGTTTTATTTTGTTGTTCTAAAAAGAATAAATAAATTAAAGGAGGAGGATTTTACACAACCTGGCAACCCAAACTTATTGCTCATCTTACTGGGCGTGATTCTATAAAGCTTCTAATCAAAACAGAATGAGTATTAAACCCATTAATAAATCATTAAATTACAGATTATTAGGGGGGAGCCTCAATCACAAAAGTGGTGGCATTGGTTTTTCACCACAGGACGTCCCTTATTTCTGCTTCAAGGCTTTTAATACTTTATATCACTGACAGTGACGCGTTCAATGACTCCACTGTTTTATTTATAAGATTATTTTTACACCTATGAAGGGAAATTTGTGGCGGTTCACAGGTTCAGACAGGAAAAGACAGACAGATACAGTCACCGCTGCTGCTTCACTGACCACGTCAACAACACCTTGTCTGTGTGAACTGCTATGTTTTGTGATGATTGATAATAAAATTGTTGAGGCAGCGTAAAGTCACATGTGTCGATCGACATCACAGCTGAAAGTCTACTCAGATCAACAGGAACAATCTGAAATGATTTCAGCCTGTTTATTACATTTGTTTCTTTATCTTTTATTGTTCAGTGACAGTAGAAAGATGAGAATAGAAGAGATAAAGAGAGAGGGGAGAGGCAGAGAGAGAGGAGTGGACGTCCATGGAAGCTTATCTCAACTAACAGGTCTGGATTCAATCAGGAGCTGATGTTACTGTTGATGTTTTTCCTAACTCGGAAGATGGAAATCTTGGTATATAATTAAGTATCCACATAAATACTCAATTAATTTGTACTGGTGTTGCAAGGTATAATAATAATAATAATACATTATATATTTTATATAATTAACAATAAGTATAATTAATAATATATAAATGTAATATAATTTCTGTTGGTCCCCCTCTCAACAAAAGACTTCAACCTGCTGAAGCAGC